ACCATTTCTTTGAAACTGGTATGTTGATTTTGATATATCACCATTAATAATTAATGCTAAAGCTTCATCAGGTGAATATATTTAAGCAGATTTAATGGGGTTTTTATTTCAACTTTCAAAAATTTGTGCCAGTTTTATATTAAACTCACTTCTTAGTTTCAGTTTTGTTATATGACATAATTTATGGCTAAATAAAATATTAATACGTTAAGCTCTTTTTTTTAGATCTGTTACAAGCTATTTCAAAAGAGCAACATGGCTTTCCAACATCATTAACTGATGATATAGCATTTAATGTACCTTAAGTGTATTGAAAATCTTGAGCTAGCCAATTTTCATTATTTCTCTCAGAATGAGTATTACCATTAGTTACATTTTAAAAAAGAATACAAAATTTTTACATTATAATTTTATAAAGTTTTTCACTCAGAATCCGCTAGTTTAATATCTGCAGAAACTAGAGCTGTTAATTTTGATGAAAAGAATGGTATATTATTAGAAACTAGTTTATTTTGTCGTATACGTCCTTTAATGTCACCAATTTTTATACTATTACTAAACAAAAGAAAAAAAAAACATTCTTAAGTAAACAGTGCAATTTGTATTGAATTAAATAACCAACAAAACAAAATGTATTTTTGTTTACGAGAAAAAAAAGTTGATTTCAAGCAAATAACTTAAGTTACAAGTCATTACTTTGAAATGTTAAAGAAACCTAAAAGGGGAATTTAGGGGCAATGCATACAGTTCAAATAGGTTGTATGCATATTACATTTACAAGTTCAAGTATTTAATATAGGTTCTCATAGGTTCCCTAAATTAAATGACACTTTTTATACAAAATAAAAGTATTAAATGTTAAAAATTTATCTTGTTATTTTAAAGCTAGATTAAAAGTGTATTATAAAGGCTGATGTTTATATTTTTTGTAAAGCTTTACAGTTAAATAGTTTAAATATATAAACTAATCCTGTAAGCTCATAGAATTTTAAGTTACTGTTTACTATAACTATGCATAAAAAATTCATGCTGTTTTTTTTTGATTTTCTCAAATAGTTGAGAAAATCAAAAAAATATGGTTTTGAATATAATAAATATTCATTTTTTAGGTTTTGCCCACCACCTGGTACACTGTGCATTGCTGTGCTAAAATTATATATCTATGATTGAAATAATTCTATGACTTGCGCTAATGTCAAATTTAATGAAAAAACCTAACAAAAAAATGCCCGTACTAGCACTTTTAGAGTTTTAGCCCATCAAAATCTAGAGTTTTGTACTAGCCCATCAACATCTAAAGTTTTGAATGTTAAACCCAAGGTTTAAACTAGCACAATTTAAGGCTGTATTTTCTTTTGTGCCTCTTCAGGACCGAGATTTTCTCAACAATGGTTCTTCACCTATAAAATAACAGGATGCAGTGAAAAGCTTTTAAGCCATAATGTAATGATTACAAATATAATAGAACAGTAGAATCTTGTTAGATAATAGGTATTTATTATAATTTAGTTTCATTTACAAAAATTTAAAAGTAGTCAACTACTTCAATCACAAAACTTTAAAGAAGCTAAAATGTTTATAATCATTGTTATAACTGCAGTTAGAACCTTATCATAGTGAAGATACGACTATTTCACTATGACAAGGTTCTAATTGCATTTTAGGGGTATTTATTTTATAATGAAGAGCAAGAAAACATTTTTTAGTTACAAATGATTAAAAAACTAAAGGCAAATCATTATGTTATCATGGGTGAAAATTATTATTAATTGACACTAATAAATTGTAAGTAATACTAATAAATTGTAAGAACATAATTTTTGACATCAATTTACTCAAAAATACTTTTGGATCAGTTAGAACCTTGTCAAACCAACGCAACAAATTGCAGAGTAATTAATAGTATAATTAATTTTAATTCGTTTTGGAAATTTTTGTCAAATTATCAAAATTATTAAAGGTAAAAATATTAAAGCAATCTGAAATCATAAAAAAACAATCCAAAATCACAAACTATGGCTTGGGGTGCCAACCTGTACAGAGTTAATGGAATCATAGACTACCAAAAGTACCCTTATATTTTAGCTCACCAATTAAAACCAAGTATATCACATCTATTACAGGATAGAAATTATATATTTCATCAAGAAAATGACCCAAAGCATACAGTAAGAAAAAAAATATATAACAAGTCTTCCGGAAAAGCGTGTGCAGTTGCACGCCTTGTTTGTCAACGTTTAAAGTAATTTTTTAGACACACTGACCACAGCAGTTCATATCTTTTAACTTATAAAGCATTTAAATAATTTGCGGCAAAAAGATAAACTTATCCACTGAGAGATTTTTTTTTTTTTTAATTTTTATACAACTTTAATATTCTTTTTTTTAAATTGATTATTGTTTTTAGCTACCAAATTTGATACAAGTTAATAAAAAAAACATATCTTTTATAAAAATTTAACAACAAATTAAAGTTTATGCAATTTATTCACAATTTTTGTCTGTATAATTAAAAAACTTATTTGCTAAAATAAAAAAACTAATGCATGCTAAAACTATGAAAAATTTTGTTAACTTTTTTTACTATGTTTACTTGTTTTGTCATCTTTTCGCTTTTAAAAATGTTTTTGCTATACTTGACGTTTTTTCTCAACCCTTTTATAATAGGAAAATAAAAAAATAAATTGTTATTTATTTGTAAAATATATTATTTGAATAATAAATTTTATAATGACAGAATAAATTAAATAAAAGAATAACATGGTTTCTTTTATATATGTATTTACCGCATTTGATGCATGGCTAAATTGCTTCTTTTATACTGCCCAATTTCCAATGTTAATACGAATTACAAGAAATAATGAACATAACAATTTCTCTGTTTAAAAAAAAGTAATTAAAACTTAAAAAGTTTGAAATAGGCTCTTAAAATATTTTTTAAAAAGTTCAGTAAATTAGCAATGCACAAACCCAACAACTCTTGGAGCATCACTAATAACAATAGTTCATCAGGAAATAAACTATTTGGGTTTAAATGCACAACTTGGATAATCCAACAAAAGTGAAGACTATTTCAATGGGGGTAGTCAAACAACTAAATATTTTATATTTAAATATAAGTATTAATGACTTTTTATTTTTTTACATGAAAAAACTTGTTGAAAATTTTTTTAACAAATAAATAGCAATTAGTTTTCCTGTGCATAGATAAAAACTGTAAAGTTTAGCAAAAACATTTGAAAAACAAATTTAAAAATTGTCCATGCTTCTAGTGCAAATTATAAAGTATTTGCACTAGAAACATGGGTAGTGGGGTAAAAACCCGGATAGTTTATTTCCTGATGAACTAAATGCGGTAGTGGTGTAGTGGTAGAACACTCGCTTCATAAGCGAGAGGTTCCGAGTTCAATCCCCACCACGTCCCTGGTAGTACCGCGCTCAACTTGTTTCTCTGCGCAGCGGCCTTGTTCGTCAAGGTTCGTGTTTCGGAGTTATAGAGTTGAGAGAGGGTTATAACCAAAACTAAGTAGCCTCCTTGTCTATAGTGACCCTCTCAGCCTTGGGGATATGAATTAATGAAAAAAAATTAAAAAAATAAAAATTTCCCTAATATACTGACTGAAAAAAGTTGCAAAAAAATTGTTTAACAAAATATATTTTTATTTTCGTTATATTCTTATCTACTTTTTTCCTCAACTTGTATCAATTTCAGTAGTGGAAAATAACAAATGCCATAAAAACAAAAACGGTAAAATATTTAGGTATATTATTTTTTTGACAACAACTTTCTTTTTTTAAATTTCCATTTTTTTAACTTATTATATTTAGATTTTCTATTTCGTATAGCCTTTGGTTCTTTTCTTTGAGTTTTGGTATTTTATTCTCTTTAGTTTCATATAGCATTGTTTAGTCACAAATTCTTAAAACGCTTACTAAATAAAAACGTGGTCAAGTTGTCTAAAAAAATTACCAAGATAAATTGTTTATATAACAGCTATACTCATCTTGGGCAGATGTAAACTGCATGTTGGAACTGTCTTGTAAAAAGTACTCTACAAAACACAAATACTACTGTTGATCAACCTTGTAACCCTTTTTCATTTCATAGATGTATATACGGATGATGCAAATGTAAATGATATAAAATGTAAGTATAGATAATAGCATAATAACTTAATAGCAACCTAACTTAGACCAAGTAAAAAATCTTTTATCACAACTTAAGGTTCGGAACCAGAAATAAGGAAACGACATAGCTTATTGCTTGGGGCTACAAATACCTTTAATTTGCATTATATAGAGTCTATATATAGAGCATTATAAAACAAGTCAAAGTTGCATTATATATTGAGTTAAAAAATCTATTCATTTGAATTATAAATATAGTACCAAAAAATGTTCAACAAAAAAAACTATTATCACCGCAATCTTTTAGTAATATTTGCGGACTACTGTTAGAATGGTATAATTTAGATAATAACTTCGCCATCAAATCATTTCTTATAAAGACTTAGGGTCATTCAAGAGCAAACTTTCTTTCAAAACAATTTTACATCTGAATCTTACTTCTTGCAAAATTTAACGCATACACTTGGTGAGACTAATTTATATTAAGGTTTTACAACTGCAATGAAATATGCATTTAAGGAAACTGCATTCAGGTATGAACTGTTAAAATTGCTCAACATACAGCCAATTAAATCATCTGTTGAAACATAAATATTTACTAATGCAAAAAAAATAACGACTGATGCAAAAACTGAAATACAGAGATAAAAATTATTATTATGAGCTAATGTTTATAACCATTAATTCCTAAATTTTAGTAAAAACAAGTTTTTGTTAGAAAAAATTGTAAAAAAATAGTTTAAAACTTAAGTTATTCAACACTTGTTGTATTTACTTAACTATTTTCAATAAAAAAAAATTAGAAACAATCTTAAACAAAATCATAATCATAAATAACTAATTTTAATTATAATTGACAAAAAAACACAAACTTGCTTTCCTGTAAATCCTTGGCAGATAACCTTTGTATTTTTGTTAATAGATAAATTGGGTCTTGTTGTTTCATAACTAACCCCTCTTGATAGTGTCTTTATAGAGAAGGCTAAAATATTGATAAACATACTGAGATCATTGAAATTTTATAAAATATTTAAATATTACTTCATATTATTTCAATGCAATTTCAATAAACAAATAAAATATTTAAATATTTTAAATACAAATTTAGAAATATTTCTATATTTTAAATTTCAGAAAAAACAGAGTAAATTTAGCGTCAGCCTAATATACTTTATTTTTAAAAAAATCTGCCTCAGCCTAATATACGCTATTTTAGAAAAAATATAGTATATAATTAGCTGACGCAGATGTAAACTTGTGTTACATTGTTTTCTGTTTAGGATGATGAATGCTAGATTTTTATGACTTGTAGGTTTTTACTTCTTCTTGATCATAGCTATGCAATTCTTCATGTTAACATTCATGAGGTTACATCATTTTTATCATGAGGTTACATCATGTTATCATTTGTAAGGTTACATCATAAAATTCAGTTTAATGGTTCTGAGGCTGGCTAGTGGCAAGATTTCCTGAGCTGTGTTGTAGATTTCAAAGTGATTGATTCCATCAACAGTGGTAAAATATCAGAGTATTAAAAGTTCCATATTTGGGCTGGTTCTTCTAATGATGCTCTTTCTTTTTTAGATAAGTTCCAAAAACGTATTGTAAATCTAGTTGGACCTGCTAGTTTGCCAAACTTAAGCCTTTTTTTCATTTTTATAAAGTTTTTTTTCTCTTTTTTACAAATTCTATTATAATGGCTGCTCAAAGGAGCTATCATATCAAGCAAATCTTATTTTCGTTTCATGGCAATTCCATGTGAAAACATCCAATTTTTTTATAAAGTGCAACCCTACATCTCAGATTTTGCTAATTTTTACACAACTTAAAGATTTTCCTACTCAAGTTTATTTATACATCATTCCCTCCCCCCCCCTCCTTTATTATCTTCCCTCATTTATTACATCTGGACAAAAACATGATTTGTCTATCGATTAAAAGAATTTAAGTTCATTATGCTAAATTTTAAGTTCAAGTGACCAGTATGTTTTCTAATTATTTCTCCTACTTTACAACTGTAAATACAATTTTAAAAATACAAAATTAGAAACATTAGCTCCTGAATTAGCAATAACACTTACCACTATTGCAGTATGGCTCTTAATAAACTCAGGGTAGATGGGAAAATTTCACTAAAATTAACAACTATTAACTTTGGTGTACTAAGTACTAAGTTTTTTTTTCCTTTGATTTTTCATAATTTCTGTTTTATAAGTAATAAATTTAAGTAAATTTTATCATCTTTTTTTTTTTCTGTTTAAAGAAAGACCACTCTGCGATTCTTTGTGACAACTTTAACTACCAGTATTTTTGTAATTAAACTCACCCCAGTAAAGTTGTAATAGAGGTTAGAATTCTAGGTGTTATAATTATTTTTTAACTTTTCAAGTTGTTTTATTGGATTTCTTGCCTCAAAGTATGTAAGTGTACATACTTTCAGCTTTCCATTACACACAGAGCAAAGAGAAGACAAATCTATTTTTTAAATTGACAGATTTTTGTTGGTTCATGGCAAAGTTTAAATAGTTATATCTTTGAAAAGGTTTAGAATTAGATGATGAAATTTTGGGAATGTTCATTATTTATTAATATCTTTAAGTGGTGTAAAAATCAGCAAAATCTGAGACTAAGGGTTGTTTTCACATGGAATCATACTTTAGCAAAGTCACATCCTTTTACTGAATCTGTCCCTGCATGCTCTAAAAACTTTTATTTGTCTAGTTTTTCGTCTTATGCTGCATTTCAATTCTTTGGAACTCTCTCCCATCTTCATGTTTTCCCGACTCATACAACCTACAACTTTTGAACTTCCTAACATTGTAACCTTATTTTATTAAATTTTGTCTGACTCTTTTCCATTTATTGCTTAAATTTATTGAACAAAAATTTAAAAAAAGAAAAGAAAAGTACAAATTCTTAAAGAATTCTTAAAAATTCTTGAATTTGATAAAATTAAAATAATTAAACATAACAAATTGAAAATAAAGATTACCAGCACAAAATAAAAACTTAAATAAGACAGGTCAAGAATTAGACAAAGTACTTAACTTAGTGATATTGTTCAATCGACTTATGTTAAAAAACAAACTTCTCTAAAGGAAAACTTATGTTACTACTTTTCTCTCTTTTGCAAATAGATAAATATAAAATACATGATTAGAACATTGAAAGTTATCTAATATTTATTTAAAAACTTTATATAAAAATTTTATTTTTAAGGTTAATAAGTGTATGTTAATTTAAAAGTTAATTTTCTTTTTCAGTTTGTCATAAAAACTATTGTTTTAGTCAGACTATTTTGAACATAATTAATAGGGTTGCGCCGAACACTCGGTTTGGCCGAACATGCAAAAAAATAAAATATTTGGAAAATATCATGTTTTCTTAGATTAGAGTTCAAATTTAACTCATTTGTACCGCATCTGGTTGCCACGGTGAAATAAGTTAAATTTATATATAAAATTCAATTATTTATCTTATTATTTTATTTCTAATGTATTTAATTCAAACATCATGTACATATAAATAGGCACAAGGCCCAAAGATAAAATTAAATAAAAAGTAAATAAAAAAGAATATATACAGCCATCTACAACAAGCCATCTACAACAACCCATCATTTGAACAGTCTTAATATTCTGTTAACCGAACCAACTTTATTTAAAGTGATTCTAGAGTTAGACAAAATTGTGTCAAATGATAAACAAAGATTAATAGTATCAACTAATATTAACCATAAAAGGAAAAGATTAATAATAAAATGAGTTAAATTTTAAACATATCACCATTTTTAAAACTTAAAAAGATATTTTTTTTGAACTCAAGTCTGTTTAAAGAGATGTCCATTGTTTCTGTGGTAAAACAAATAAATATCTCTACACTTTTTCCTTATAGGTTTATGTAATATAACATCTTTAAACAGAACTCTATAATAAATTATTGTAGAGTTTCAGTATAATGCTTCTATATGGAGTTTTTATTATATAATCATATTATGTAATAGAAACAACATTTAATAAATTATAAATTTTAGTCATATAATCAAATAACCGTTTGGTAAAGAAATAAAATACCAAAAAGATAAGTGAAACTTAATTATCACTTGTTGCTCTCAAGTTATAATGTAAAAACATTAATTTTCAACTACTTTCTGGTGATAGTCTATTTCTACTAGGCTCATAAATGTTGCAACCTGTACTAAAAAGCCTTTCACTTTCTACTAAAGAAGTGCTGGTGCTAAAAGGAACTTTTGGGGTATTTTCTTTAAATAAAGAGTTTTCAACTTTTGCACCATAAAAGTGGACTTTATTTTTCCATTACAAGAGGGAGTTTTAAGTACTTCAATTTCCTTGTTTATGTGTATATTGGAGTTTAATCTTTTCAATCCTTTGCTATTTTCAGTATTTACAAAATTGGTATCAGCTTTAGTTTTCATTTTGGGAATTAGAAGGAAACATTCATTAAATTTTGGATAAGCTGGTTTTACAATTACTTCATTTGTCTTACTTTCTGTGGGTTCATTACAATCAGAATCAGATGATTCAAGTTCTAAACTATGTTGTTGCATTTCCTGTATCTCCTCATTTATCTAATTTTTCATTTTATTCTCATCTTCTTTATGATATGTTAATTTATATTTAGGGCCACAAAAAGTGAAAAGACATAAATAGTTATTATGCAAAAATGTACACAGTCTTTTGTCTACTGACTCATTTAATTGATTAACTAAAGTAATTATACTTAAAAAAGCCTTACACACTAATGCTTGATTAAAAAATTCGTTCAGAGCCATAATCGAAGGAATAACATCACACATATATGCTTCTTGTTTGCTGAAATTAACAGTTAAAGTTTTGAATGGCTCTAAAATATGAAAATTTTAATCTAATAAACCCCATTGTAATGAACTAAATATTGATTGAGTAGCATGATCAGCTGTATTGGTTGCCAAGGGAGCTCTCTGGTCAAGCATTCTTTCAATCATATCATAGGAACTATTCTATCTTGTAGTAACATCTTGGACTAACTTATTCTTATTTGTACTAAGTTGTTCCTGAATTGATTCTAATTTTGCTGCTGCTGTTGGTGAATGGTGAAAATGAGTTTGTGGAATTTCAAAACTTAGTAAACCTTTATGTAAATATTCACTTAGGTGTTTTTCCTGGGATAATTTTCTGGAAAATGAATGACTCTAAGTACTGCTCTTTGTTGGGAAAATTCATTATTGAGCCAGTGTGATGTCATAATTATGAAGGCAACATTTGAACTATTTGCTGTCCAAATGTCAGTTGTAAGGAAGATATAACTTGCAGCAGATAAATTAATCTTTATAGAGTTAAATAGCTCATTATATATTCGAGGAACAACATTTTCACTAAAATAACTCCTACTGAGTATTTCATAATTTGGACACATTTCTTTAATTAACTTTCTAAAACCAAGATCTTCTGCAACTGTATATGATTGAATGTCTAAAGTCAACATTTCCCCAATGCAATAGTGGATTTTGATTGCTCTATGATCATTAATATCCCATAACTTTTTTTAATTAATACTATCTTGTAATGTTAATTGTTTTTTAACTTGATTATTACTCGATGTAGAGGAGGTAGATGTTAAAACCTTTTTTTTTATTAGACTCTTTTCCTGCTAATATATATTCTTCAAACTGTTTTATTTTTAAATGGTGTCTAATTGCACAATAGTAAATATTTTAGGACAACTTCCACCTCTAGAAAGTAATGCCTTGTATAGAAGGCATACGCAAAAACAAATATCTTTCTTAGAAACTTCAAAATATTTCCAAACGTTACTTTTGAAAGACTTTTTTTTGAAGACATTGTTTTATACTCCTGTAAGACTCCTAAAAGTTAAAAAAAAAAGTACTGAATTATAAAAAGTAAAATTTAACCAAAAGAATATAATATGTCATTTAAATATAATTTGTCTAAATGTATCTTAAAACATAACACATATATAATATTGTGTAACTTACATAAAATGTTATTATATCATTTATGTTAAATAATGTTCATTTATTTTCGTTACCTAACTTTTGTATTACTAATAATAATAAAGTTAATAATACTGTATAATTAAACTATTAATTATATACTTGCACTATTTTTATATTATTTATTACACTATTTACTTACACTATTTTCAAAAATAGTGCCAGTTAATAGTGTAATACTCATTATAAACCTTTAATTTTTTTCCAATAAAAATTATTAAACATTTTAACATATTTACACTATAAATAAATATTAACTAAACAAAAAAAATTAAACATTTCAAAGTTTGTTTCTAATTTTTAAACAAAATTTGTAAGGGTTTTTTTTTAAAATAACCACGTTAATTTATAGAGTTCAATAACTGATGTTTATATTTAAAATGAGCAATAGTTCAGTAGCTGAACCGTTCGGTGTTTGGCAAAATATAATGGCCCAATGTTCAGGTTCAGTGTTCAGCCAAAACTCGGATTTGCCACATCCCTAATAATTAAATTAAGAGTTAATTTTATTCTTTAGGTTATAATTACAACTGTTGTACTATTCAGACTTTGAACTTTAATGGCCATTGACAGAGGCCAGCCCTTTAAAATATCTACAGATGTATAAGTTTTTATTGTCATTTTAAAATTGTTAAAAGGTTTATATATTCATTTAGAACTCAAAGGCACATTATAATAAAGCAACTACTTTGATTTCTTTGATTTCTAATAACAATTTTTTTTGAAACATTTGAATTGTATATTTTAATTAAAGTTAAGACAATATATCTTACAGAAAGTCTTTCAATCAAATACCATTCCAAACAGTGCACAGTGGAATATACTAAAAGTTAGCAATCAGTGCACAGTGAAATATACTAAAAGTTAGCAAACAGTGCTCAGTGGAATATACCAAAAGTTAGCAAACAGTACACAGTGGAATATAACAAGTTAGCAAACAGTGCCAGGTGTTAGCCAGGAATATATTTTTTACCACATTTTTGTGATATTGAGTATACTTATTGTTATTATTTTACAAAGTGTTAGGAATATTTATTAACATAGTTCTATTCCTTAGCAAGAAAAAGTTAGCAAAACATAGAAAACATCTGATTATAATCACATTATTATAATATATAATATGTACAATATACTACTATCTAGTTATAATATATAATATACCTCTAATTATAGATTTTTGGGGTTAGGGAATCAATTTCTAATATCGAAATTGAGTTTTGACCACTCTGATTGGCACTAAAAATTATTAAAAAATGGATTTTTTGGTATTTCTGATATAATACTATTGAATATTGTGCAAACTCTAAACTTAAGTATGCTCAAAGTTTATGTCAAATGTAATATTTTGGGAAAAAATCTGATGACTGGAGCCTGAAAACAAAAATACTGAAAAAAGGTTTTTTCAAAAACACTATCTTACCTCAAATGTAAGGATAATTTGTTAATCAATTTTTTTTAATACTATTTACATTTTTTATATTACTATCTAATTCTAAATTTAAAGTGGAAGACAAACTTACAGCAACCAGAGATGAAAGTGGATGCAAATAATCTTTTTACCAAATATTAATTAAAGTACTTAAGTATGCTTTTAAGTTGATTTCATTCTGATGTACTGAAAACATCTAGTAGTGAAAAGCTTTTTTTGCAATATTAAATGTAAAGAACATGTTTTAAAAGTGTAAAAAAAATTTACTAAAAAAGTGAAATAATCTTTTTGAAATAATCATTAAAATTTAGGTAATTAAAGAAAAATATTTTAAAATTCCACAAGGATAGATTAATTTTGAAACTACACCTGTATTACAATATTTTTAAATTATTTATGTTTTTCACTTTTAACAGCTTTTAGAATTTGAGGTACTCTAAAGAATATAACATATCAATCACTACACTATAAAACCAACATTCTTTGATATTTGTGTATGCATATTGTGTATGCATATTGATTGCAAATAACTAAAATTCAGTATATGACCTTTGATTTAACTTTTTGCTTACCTCAGGCCTACAGTGCAGTGATAAAATTAACTTCTGTACTGCATTCAACAAAAAATCAAACATAAAATTGATATCAAGTCTGCATATGAATCCAAGATCACCTTATGCTATTAAAAACAATCTAGTTTGCATGATAATATCATTACAACAATAAATTGAATCTAAATATAAAATTAAACCAATTAAACTTCGAATGATAAAACTGTAACAAGAGATATTTATTCACCTCTGAACTTATACTTTGTATTAGAAAAAGACCCTCACTCCAGTATGGTAACTGTATTCATTGATGGGAGTCAGGGGATTCTTAAAAAATTGTGAATGTCTTTAATAAGACCAATACTCATTGACATGATAAATACATTGACAGTGGAATTAAGAAGTGTTTAATAGGTACAAGTTACATTTTGAAAATGGGGTAATTGTGGATGAAAGATTTTTAAAATGGGAGTAGTCACATTTTTAAATTTATTTTATTATAAAATAAAAATCATGAAGATAAAATTTATCACTTAATATCTCTACCAGAATTACATCTTCTTATGGGCATTGCAACATTACATGGTAGACTACTTTTAAATCACTATATTTATATCTTACTTTAAGGTTATCATGAGATAAACTTTGATGCCAATGACACAAACCTTCTAGGAAAAATAAATATTTTACAGAGTTTACTGATGAGTTATTATCTCAAACTAATTTAATATCTATTGTTTATTGCCTCAAAAAATATTTTAGATTAAAAAGTGAACAAAAAAATATTGTAGGTTAAAGAGCAAACATTTGGACAATAGTTAGGCAGCAATATATCTTCAGTTATTGGAGAGTTCAAAATATTATTTTGACCTACAGCAGTATGAAAAAATACATTTAAATGCATAGTGTTATGATTGGAAAGTCCATATAATGAAATTTAATTCTTTTTGTCTAGAATTTAGGTTGAACAGACTTTTTACGCTACCTTTAAACTAAATTGGTCTGGATATAAGCAAAGGATTGAGCATACAGATTATAGTAAACAAATAAAATCTGCTATGAACAGTTTTAGTGTAGATATGATGTGAATATTATAACATATACCAAGTTGTACTTATGCTTGCGTTTATGTGCTTTTATTATTCTTTTCCTTTTTATTATTATTACTTTAAGGACTTTTGGTTTATTAAAAGTTTAAATAACTTTAAGTTTAGAATTGTAGTAAATGTAACTATTACTTTAAGAATAATAATGAAAAATAGTGTTTTAAAAACTCTTTTTAAGAAGTTATTATAACTTTAAAAGAGGAAACTTTGACAATTATGGGGTAAATAGGGTAAAATAAAAACAAGTTTTATAGTACTACTGATCTACTTTAGATTTCTGCAATACAAAAAATAAACATATTAAGGTAGCATTTACCTTGGCATGAAAAAAAAATTAGAGACGGATAGATGGTAAACCTGGCAGTCTTTATAGTACACAGTTACTATTACAGTATACTAGAGTTACTTTGAGTTTAGGTACAAAATGAGGCTACAATGATAAATGTTATACTCATATCACCTGCAGGGTGACAGGTATTTCTGCTAAGAGAAATACATGCATTAACAAAGTTAATTCCTATTCTTATATGAGTTTTAATTCTAAACATTAAAAAAAATGAACAATGTGCATTAAGTATACTTTAAGGTATTGCTATAAAAGATGTACAACACTGGTGGACTACACATTGCTCAACAACAATAGTAACAATTGTAACAACAATAATAAAACTACAAAAAAAGCATTTAGAAAATTACACAACAATAACAATACATGTTTCGAAGATATTAATGTGTAAAAATTAATACAAATAATATATCATGATATTCTATAATAAAAAATTTTAAAAAATAAATGCTAAATTATTAACTGTTGTAGCCTAGAACAGCATTAGAAAACAGAAACATTTTAAATTTATTATTTGAAAAAATAACTTTAACTGGAATAGTGAGATACAACAAACTTATGCTGTAAAACTTAAATAATTAATAAAAAATATACAAGTGTCACTACTTCTGAAGAGTATAAAAATAATTTTTTATTTTATTTTTTGGAATTAATAACAGAGATCTGCTCTGAAAACGATTAGATAAGTATGCTATTAACTAATCCTATTTTATTTTAAAATAAAAAAATAGAAATCACAGATTCAATACTTGAATTACCTGCTCTTTTAGAAAATCCTAAAGTAGTCATCTAACACTATCACAGAGAAGACCTAAAGGGTTTTAAAAAGTTAATAGCAAAACGCTCGGTGAAATATTCTTGTTATATTTGTAAACACAAACGGTTGCCGGTTTCAAATGTGTCAAGTATTGTCAATGAATGTTATTTTTTGTTTTGGAATGTCGTTAATATTTTTTACTATTCACTTTTACTTTTTTATTTCTATACGTTATTTTAATTTCTTAAAAAAAATTTTTTGTCGATTATAAAGTACTTTTGACGTAGGAAAAAATATCTCAATTTCTGGTAACTTTTGAATGATGACTACCATAAAAACATATAAAATACCTTATTTTATATAATGTAGTTTTTTTTAAGGCAGATATCATTAAAAAATTATCAGGAATTAATATATCTTTCCCTAAATCAGAAATAGTAAAAGATACCTAGAGTCAACCGGGGTAAAACGTGTATAAAATTTAAATGGTTTTTGTTTGCAATTACGCTGGTTGAACTTTAATTAATTTTGCAAAATTATTATTGCAAAAATTTTACATTTAAACTATTAAGACATTAAAAAACTATTAAAAACAATTTAGAGAGAATATTTTCAATTTACAATTTTTTAGATAGGGCCACTTTGCCACATGGTATACCCATTATACTCCAAGTTGCGGTGTAAAGTGGGTATAAAATGGGGTAAAATGGGTAACGGGGCTCTAATGGTAAAACTTAAACGTCTCAAATAAAAATATAACAAAACGACTGAACTTTCTAAAATTTTATTCAAACTAACACAATATTTCACTTTTTGTGTGTTATTAGAACAACTTTGTTTACTTTTATTTTGAATCTGTTTATTAAATTCTATTCAAAACTTTTATACAGAAACAAAAATTCTTGAGGGCGTAATTATATACAAAAATAGCTATAATTTGACTAATAAATTACATTAATTAACTTTAATAATATTATGACAAGAGCTTATAAACGTAAGAATAAAGTTTTATAACGATCAGCTTTTATCACATCTCCCCTAGAATTTAAAGTTCATAAGTAACATAGTCATTTAAATATGGCGGCTTTCTCCTTTCTCTGGTTGATCATCTGGTCTCGGGTAATAAATTATCAACGCTTTCTCTGCCGTTAGCTTCCTCCTCAGCGTCAACAACTGTTTCTTCGGCTCCTTCCTCTCGTGCAGCAAAAATGTCTAAATCTTCTAAATCACATTCATCAGTGTCAACCTTTTCACTGATAACAATTTTATTTGAAGCGTTTGAAGAATTTGAGGTAGGAACTATTCGCACATCTCGCACATGTCTCGGTACACCATCAACTTCTATGATTGTGTTTGTAAGTATGTCAGTTACAGTACCGATTTTTCACACTAAAGTGCACTTTGCATCAGCGGGGCAAACATAAAATTTTTTTCCAATTCTATAAGTTTCTTTAACTCGTTGTGATTTTTCCTGAGTTTCAGTGTTTTTCTCCTCTTGAATTGGTAAACGCCAGACGTACTTATTTTTTTAGAAGCAGGTGCAGATTCCCCGTTTGTTCCCATTGTTGGTGTTGCATTTTACTAAAATACCGCTAGTAAAGGACATATTTGTGCACTTGCAGCTGTTCGTTTTACTGTGCAGTGGTTACGCTCCACAATCCCATTTCCTGATGGTCTATATGCACATCTATACTTCTTTTTTACACTCCATTTTTCACATATGTTTGAAAATTCACTGAATTTAAACACCGCTCCATTATCCATCAACAGTTCTTGCGGTGGCCCATGCTCCCTAAATACGGATTCCAATTGATTTACTAAACTTTTAGTATATTTGAGAGACAGTTTTCTCCAAAATGCAAACCGACTTGGTCTACAGCCAATCATTGTTAAATATGACAATCCTTTATAGCTAGTCGCATCACAAGCAATTGGATACCATGTATCTGGTACATCTAGCACTCCATTTTCCCAATTTAATGGTGCTGGATCAATTTAATTATATTGACAGCATTTGCACACATTGCAACACATTCTTCGTTGCACACATTGCAACACATTGCAACACATTCTTCGTTGCACACATTGCAACACATTGCAACACATTCTTCGACGTCTTTTCTAAGTACGCGCGGAAGTCTTCGTTGCACTGTAAACATTGTCCAGTTAACGCCAAAATGATGCTTTGAGTGACAATTACGAATTTATTCAGCAATACTTATTCCACATAGTTCTTTAGTATTTCTTCGTGAAAGCTCATTTAAACATGTCTTTGGAACTCTTGTCAACACGTCAGCTTTGTTTTTGGAGGATGGAAACCATTTCAACGTGATGTTTATATTATATTCTTTTATTAAGTCTTGCAATAGAGAAAGTCTTCTTTTAATAAGCATTTCTGATAATCCATTCAATCGATCAAACCCTATGACTATTAGTCAGCATACTTTTTAACCATCCATGAACTGTTACGTGAACTTTTACTGAATCAGAGAATACTGACAGATTCTTTATATCCCACTTAGCGGCTAGGTTTATTCACCGCACCGCAGCATTTAATTCAGCAATATTATTATGCACACATCATTTATACTTCGAAGCCAGGCTGCACCCTCAATTATTACGCTATTGTATTCTATAGCAACCCCCATCGCCATGCTGCTTGCATCACATCACAATGTTGCTCCATTTTGAATCCTTTTAGCATTCCATTTCCCTCTCACAGAATCACTAACTTCCAATTGGCGCAATATTTCGATCAACCATTACTGAGCTTGATCTCCGATTAGATCATTCCAAGCATCTCCTTGACTATGACGTTTTGTAAAATTGCAGGTAATTCTGAGCCAACCTCTGAGCCAATAGTGACCTTATAGGTGTCCACATATTGAAAAAAGTTTTCGTCGTGTAACTTTTTCAGTTTTGATATCTTGTGACTTTGGAATGATGTTTCCACGTTTCCAACAAAGCTCGTTTTTTTTTCATTTCTAAATAGTTGCAAACCCAACACTCGTGCAATATCACATTGCTTTGGCTCTTTGGTTACCAATCCATAACGCACCAGATGGTTTACGACCTTTTAAACTGATGTATTTTCCAAATTAACAACTATATCGTCAATGTAATGGTCAGATTCAACATATTGCCTAAGATTAAAGACATTATTTTTGGGGCAAAATTTAACCTAAAACCAAAACGTGTAAGATAGTATCAACTGGGGTTTTACCTTGTATAAACTGGGGTTTTACCTTGTACTGAGCGACAGAATTTCTCAGTTGTGGTTGACCTTGTTTCCATCTATATTTAACAGTCCACTTTGTACTATCAAAATAAGCATCAAAATCCTTGTCCTTTTTACCAACAGATTGTTTCTCTGCATAAATTGAAACAAAACCAAATTCAATTTTTTTTATTGTTCAAGTGCACTCCTCCATAGCGATTGATGACATCCATACCAATAATAGCATCAATACCGTTGACAACAATTTTTAATTTTTTATTACTGATGTTTGGAGTTTTTTTCCTCCAATGATTAATGTTACTGTAGCTTCTCCCTCTGTTTTCACAAACATTCCATTAACAGCCAACACCATGAGTACATTTCTTCTGATACGAACACCGGCTTTTTGAGCCATGTTGTTTGAAATAAAAGTTCGAGTACATCCGCTATTAACCAGTGCTTTTCCTGCAAAGGTGTCCACCTGCACAGTGCATATTGAAAGTGCCGTTAGTTATTTAGGTGAACAGCTGGCGCTGGCGATTCCCCATTTGAGTTTCCTGATGCAATTAACAAAATCTTGCAATGTGTTCAGATTTTCCACATCTGAAACATTTTTATCCCACCACTAAAAATTTGTTTCTTCGAAAAACAGATTCGGGCAACAAATCCGGGCTTGCCACAATTGCAGCAGTTAAAACCAGTAGCGGATGGTTTCTTAAGATTTTTATAAGACCCAGAGATTACTGTTGAAACATACTCTTCTCTTGTTTTTTCCATCATGAGTACTCTTGCATGATTTAATGTATCCTGTAAACTGATCCCAAATATCTTCACTTGTACTCGCAGCTGCTTTATAACTTCCTTCGGCAATCGCGTTTTGAACGCTATTAGCATTTAAAATAATTCTTCGCTTTCTTTATTGGCCAAACCCATAAGTTGACGCAAACTGGCCAAATACACATCGACAGATTCGCCGTCATTCCATCTCTGAACTGCTCGTAAGCTTGGAAACCATTGACAGCAAATGCATCTAGTAGAGCTTTTTCAATGTCCGCAGCGGAGATTTTTTGGCTCTCCTCAAGTTGCTCATAAAATGCAAACGCACTGCCTTCATAAAATAATGGAATGATCAAAGAAAGATTACCCATTTTTAGCAGTTCTCCCACCAGCTTGATCTTTTTTAGCCACACTACAACATCTCCAGATCCATCAAATTTTCCAATCATTTTCGCCATGGATGCCATTCTGCCGAAATAGCTTATTATTACAACAACTTTGTTTACTTTTATTTTGACTCTATTAAATTTTATTTACAATTTATATACAGAAAAAAAATTCTCGAGGGCGTAATAATATACAAAAAAAGCTATGACTTGGCTATTAAATAACATTAATTAACTTTAATAGAATTATGACAAGAATATATAAACGTAACAATAAAATTTTATAACGATCAGATTTATTGCGATTATTACATTGAGATAAAAATGTGTATGAAAAGTGTACATTTACTGCACATTATACAAAAAATCAAGAAAACGTAAGACTTAACGACTTTTTTGGATTACCCTCACTCATATATGGCTATTTGAGTGAGAGTAATCCACTAAAATTATTTAGTCACGCGTTTCTTTGATTAAACAAGTCTCAAAAATCAATCTAGCAAAGGGAGTTTGTATTGTTTACGACTATTTCAGGAAAGCTGTGGCTATTTCTTAAGTTGTTTTTATCCAAAATGTCATCAATTTCATTCAGTATGGCCCTACTGGTAATTTTGTCAGAAACTTCATAGTGTTCAGGTCTTTATCTCGGATTTCAATCACTATTCCGTAGAACTTATGGTTTATCTTTTTACCAGCATACTTCACCAGCACCTAATCCTCAACTATTTTATTGAAATTGTCTTTTTCTTCAGGGACTTTCTCAATTTCTTCAGTCATTATTTTTTTTGTTTGTTGGTTAGGACTTCTAATTTGGCTTGCATTTTTGAAACCTAC